TTCCTTTTCCTTTACTGTTGACTTTGCGATGATTTCGTCCAAATCGATCACGCCATCTCCTCCAATTTTATTTTTTTGCATTCTGCTATACGCCAACATGAAATCATCTTCTTCTGTCATTGTCTCAGATTTTTTTGTGATTGCGGCAATTTCGATGATTTTTTCTTTTTTCTTCGGTTGGCTTTTTTTTTCTTCCTCGGCGAGTTTTTCCAGATCGAATTCCTTTTCTTTGTCGTCGTCGCTGGAGTTCTCCTCTTTTTTGTTTTTCTTTTTGTTTTTCTTTTTTGCTGTTTTTTTTGTCGTTTTTTTCGCGACTTTTGCTTTCTCCTCAGTTTTTTCCTCAGAATTATCGTCGTCTGAATTTTCCTCATCGTCTTTTTTATTTTTTTTATTTTTGACGACTTTTTTCGCTTTTTTCTTTTCTGCGGCGCGGTTAAGGACTTCCTGTGTTTCTTTAAATTCTTTCAGTTCTTCTTCGTATTCTTCTTTTTTCTTTTTTTCTATCTCCAAAAATTTTTGTTTTTGTTCTGCGGTTAGTTCTTTCCATGGTTTATTTCCAAGTTCTGGATCTGCTTTATGCAACTGAAAAGCTGTTTGTGGCGCTTGAGGTTTTGATTTTTTTACTTTTTTCGGTCCATCCTCTGCAATCACTTTATGTGGTTTTTTACTCCCCTCAACGTGTTCTTTTTTACTTTCTTTCTCTTCTTGTTGTTTTAACTTTTCAATTCTCTTTAAATACGCCTCTCTCTCTTCCTCTGTCATCGACTCCAACTTCGCCTTCTCTTCTTCTTCTCTCTGCTTTCGTTTTTCAATTTTTTTCCGCTCTTTTTCAGCAATCTTGTCTTCAACTTGAATTTCTTCTTCGGCCATTTGATTTTTATCAGTACAAACCCTTCTTATCTCCGCATGTCATGCTTCATACTTTTGTCTCTTTGATTAGTTTTACTATAATGTAACTATTAAAATAACTCTATCAATTTTTGTGCTCCAAAAAACAATATATTAACGAGGTATTATATATTAACAAAATTAACATGATTTTATTATATTATATATTATATATAATATATGATATTAATAAAAAAAATTAATTATAAAATAAACATTGTTAATTACAAGTCTGATGTAGGAAATGAATTATACTTTTAATAGTAATAAACTAATAACCGATAGAAAAAAGATGTGAATTAAATGAACATCTTTTTGATGTTTTCTTTTATAGTTCCGGTATATTCCGCTTTCTTAGATCCTTCGACAAAGTAAACGAAAGTTGGCATCTTTTCGATTTCATATTTATGGCAAATGTCTCTCGCCTTGTCTACATTGATAGAAACAAAGAAAATGGTAGGTTCTTCCTTTTCTACTTCAAGAGCTATTCCTTCGACTGACTGACAAGCTCCACACCATGTCGCAAAGAATTTTAAAACAACTTTTTGGTGTTGTGCAAAGACGCTGTCGAGTTCTGCAAGTGAGACTATTTCTTTCATTGTTTTTTACTAACCAGTTCAACATTTAAATTACAATTCTTGATGTCATTTAAACAGTAAGTTTGGATGTGTTCAGTCTTTAATTTACTTGTTTTGTTTCGTTTCTCCTAAAAAAGTGTAGACTTGAAACTACTGACTTGGTTGTTATTTGACTTTCGTTTATTATAATTTTATGATATTTATAGTATTTTTTATTAAAACTGTTGTATTGATTATAAATAAATACAAATAATGGTAAAAGTACAACAATTTATAGTTTTGTATAAGATCAAATTCTTTAATTATTTTGTTCATATCATTTTTATAATAAGTAAAAATGATAATAATTTATACTATAAAAAAAATGAATTTATTGGGGCAGTCTTTTCCCATTTTCGCCCAGTCTAAATATAGAATTTGTTTACTATTTTTAATAATATTTTAATTATAATTATAGTAAATGGGCGTTTTGGATGACATTAGGTCTGGTTCCCGAATTCAAAAAATGCCGAAAAGTCACCTCGAGTCAGTGGAAACCGAGAAAGACGGAGCATTGAAAAGAAGGCTCTGAAGACGCACTCAAACAGTCTGTTTGTGCACCGTTTCACCCACTTTCCAAGTCCTCCCTTGGCGCGGATACCCCCTGACCCCCCGCAAGCGGGGTGGAACCACATCCGCGTCCACACAGTACGGACAAGGAAAGTGGGTGACATGGGGACGCACAAACAGTGGCTGAAAAGTGGACTTCCTTCAAAAAACACTCGCGGCAAATATTTTATTTTGGTAAACTGGGTGAGGGTGGGAAAGGATTGTCCCAATTTTGAAATGAAATTCAAATGTAAAAATATACAGTGGTGGTATAAACCCACTTAAGTAAATTTTGTGAAACTTTGGTTGAACTTTAAGCCAAAATAGAAAAAACTTAAGTACCACCCTTTATAAATAGGAAAATGGGTTTGATTGGGTCTTTTCTTTGTTTTTTGAGAAAAAAGTCAAGTTTGCTCGAGAAGAAAAAAAATATTTGAAATGGGTTTTCATTTTAATTAAAATAAACTTAAAATATAGCTTTTGTTTTACAAAATTCGTTTCGAAAAGTATTTTCTTTTGACAAAAAGAAGCTCAAAAAAGGTTCAAAAAGTGAAAAAAGAACAATAACAAGCACAATAGTCAAGCTTTAAAATAAAAGCCGGATTGAATTTGTGGTCTTTTTGTGCACATTATTTCAATGATTGTTTTCGAACAAATAACATTTAAAAATATTTCATAACAGTTGTTGTTAAGATTCAAAAAAAGATAATAGAAATATAAAAAAACATAAACAAATGAATAAATAAAGAAAAGAATTCAGACAAAAACAAACAAATAACAATAAATACAGTAAAGAAATAAGATAATTTGAATCATTAGTCGTTCAAAGTAGTTGACTGCAACCACGACAAAACCAAAATATGTTCTAATAAACAAATTAAATCTTTAATGTTTTTCAATTTTCATTTAACTTGTTTCAATGAATGGTTTAACTTGTGGCATGATGTTGACAAACATTAAACGAAAAAGGAAAAAGACAGATAAGCTTAAAGAACAACAAGCTCTAAAGTTATTGGAGTTATTAAAAAACACAAACCCGACTTTTGAATGTTTATCTAGAAATGAGCAAATAGGATTGTGTTTAAATTTGTGTTTACAAGAACATATATTTGAAAATAGAACGTGTCTGTTGTTTAACATAAATAAAGTTGTTCTTTCTGAACAAAAAAGAAATACATTCTTTTAGAGCTGAAACTAATAGAAGAGAGGGAAGACCGAGTGAAATAAGAGATAATAAAGAATTGATAATAAAACTTTATAAATTCCAAACGACATGATAATGAAGCTGTGACCAGTTTTTCCGTTTTTGAATATTGTGTAAATGAATTGAAAATAAAATGTAATGGTATCACACTCCACAAATATATCATGTATCGGCTTGGTGTTTTCAATTTTGTTTGGGGAATTCCAGATGATTCTTTGAGAATTCAAGTAAAATTAAAAGATTTGGAAGCTTTTATTTCAATTGAATTGTTTAAATTGGTTGGTTTACATCCCAGTCTTGTATTTAATGAAGATGAGATGGGGTGTGAACATACTCTGACAAAAAACCGATAATAGTTTATGTTTCAAAGGATGAATTTCTGAGTAAAGAAAAAAACAATTAAAGTTGGTGTACCAAGGAAAGGAGGAACAAATACGTTGATTGCGTGCATTACGATGAATGGCGACGTTATAAAACCGGCAATGGTAATACCAAACAAAACTGTAAAGACAAAGTTGTTTGAATATGGGTTTGACCCATCAAATTTGCATTTGTTTTATAGTATAAATGGGTTTATAAATACTACGATTTTTATTGAGTGGCGTAATGAAGATTTTATACCTTTTGTAATAAAAAAAGAACGAATTGAGAGATTTAATTGGTGAGTTTAATTAAAAGGCGGCATTGATAATTGATGGTTGTTCATGTCACAAGAATGACTAAATAAAGCAATTATGTGCAAATAACAATATAATGATAATTTTACTAGTACCACACACATCTCATTTACTCCAACCACTTGACGTTGGAATATTTTGTTATTGCAAAAACGAGATGAGAAGAAGTTTTGAATTCATAACCAGTGAACTGAGACGAGAAGAAATTGAAAAAGATATCATGGTTGATGCCAATCATATTGGTGCAATTGAAAGTGAATTTAGTATATTAACAAACAACGACACCGAAATTGAACATTTTGTAATACCCCAATCAAATGAACAAACACAAACACAACAACTAATCGAAGAAATAGATGGTCAAAACAATGAGTTAGAAGAAGAAATTGTAGAAGCAACACCACAACAGAGAGGTGAAAGACTTGTTACTTGTATTTGTGATGTTTTAAAAGCTTACCATTCAGCCACATCAAGACCCACAGTTGTTAGTGCATTTCGCCAATGTGGTCTCGAGTTTAAGGTCAGTTCTCACAACATCAACAAAAAGGAAGTTTTGGTGAATCCAAAAGGACTAAGAGTTGTAAATAAGTATTTCCCAACAATATTTGCTTCTTCCAACACGGGCTTAACACAACCACCACCACCACCAAGACAAAATCAGACAGTCAGAATTGATTCAATTTCTTCAATGAGGGCTTCAATGGTACCTCCAACGAGAAGAATACGAACAACAACAATGGAAGATACATCAAGTTCAAAATGAATTGGGTGATGAATTGAGAAAAAGTCTTTTTTCGCTTCTTCATAGAATACAACAACAGTGATAAAAGTCGTTTTTTTCATTAAAGTTACGAGTGTAATGCACACCAATTCAAAATCTTTTAGCTGTACCTACAGCTTTTTGTTTCTGTTACTCAAAAACAACAAAAGAAAATACTTTAAACACAACAAATGAAAAGACCAGAAATCACAATAAATTTTCGAGTGATCTACTTGTTGATTATCATTGTTGAATAAATAATTGAAAAAGACTATTTGTGCAATGTTCATTCAATGAAGAGTTTTAAATCATTGGTTAAGTTGGGGAAGACATACAAAAGAATAAGAAAAAATCAAAAAAATTAATGATAAAAATGTACTTTGCTATTTTTACACAAATTGGTAACTTTTGAGGCTTGTTGTGATTAAATTTTTTTTGATTTAAAAAAATTAAATTTCAAAATCGTTATTATTAAATCAAAGTTTTGAACTTTTGTTGAAAATTGGTTTTTAGAAACATTTAGACCAAAAAAAACGAGTTACATAAAATGTAACTCGTAAAATGTGATTTTTTACACAAAAATGTAAAAATCGTACACTTTTTGGTTAAATACCAAATAAATTTCGGATTCGACAAGTTTTCCACTCAAAGCATTAAAAAACAGTGTTTAAACTTGAAAAGTACTTAAAAAGTCATAAAGTCTTCATCAGAACAAGTCAACATATATACTGGCCCAAATTTTGCTTATGTCATGAAATAAATTTCAATTAATTATTTTTTTTCTTTGTTGTTTTTTGTTGTTAAAATGTTATTCTTAATAAAAAATAATTTGTTATTATTAAAATGTTTTTATCTTATAACATAATTTCAGTTTTTTTAATTTTTTGTTATTTCCAAAAATAAAACCAAAATTTACTCACTTAAGTGGGTTTATTCCAAATTAAGTACTTAAATATTGCCACTGTATGTGAAAAAAAATACTTTGAAATAAAAATAACACTCGATAATCTCAGTTATATCCCCTTTGCAAAAAAGGTTTGTCAAGCATTGTCTCGACAGTTCGGTGTACTGCCGCAATATCCGAGTCTTCCTTCATTCCGTTAAGTTTATACGACGTGACGACATAAAAATCTGTCAGAATTTTCATGACATCCGTCTTGTTTTTCGCAAATTCATAAAACTCTCCACAACACTCAAACCCCTCTCCGTTCATTTCACTCTTTTTAACAATTTTTCCACATTCAGTGCATTTCACAGTCTGGTCAAGATACTCACTGAACACCGCATCCATCGCGGCTTTACAAATGACCACCAACTCCGTCGACTCAAAAACATTCTTACACTTCTCGCAGTGGCATTTCATATCCTTTTCTTTATATCCTTCCCATAGAAACTTCTCTTTGCATTTCAAACACTCCAACTCGACCCCTCCGCCTCTCTCGCCGCTTGCTTTTACTAATAAACTTTGAATCTGCCTCAACCCAATCCACTCTCGAATTTTATTGTTCATTCCACTGAACACCTCAAAAATTCTCGAAACGGGCGCAAAAATCTGGTTCTCGAGGTAGTACTCATAGTCGATTTGGAAATGTTCAAACTTTTCAATTTGGTCAAGTGGCAAAGCTCGCTCGACAACTCCAACATTCTCATTCTCGAGGTTTTGTCGAATCACAAACTTGACTTGGTCTCCCGCCTTGTACTCCTTTGTCGACTTCAGCGCTGCAGAAACGTGTTCAATTGTCTTCTGTGCGTATTCTTTGGGATCTTTACTGAGCCCCTTCACAATGACAAGTTTTGCAATGTCCACCTTTCCCCCTCGCAAGTCGCTTGCAATCTTCTTGAAGTAATTCTCAAGGTCGTGCAGAGTCTTTTCTTTTCCTTCGTCCTTGAGTATGAGGTTGATACAATAGTTCCCAATTTCCTTACTAAATAAACACCATTCTCTTCTCACAACATCAAGTCCTTTCAACTCTCGTTTCGTCTCGCCGTTCTCGTTCACCATTATCGCAGCGTATCTCTTCTTTTTCAACAACAACAGCTTGGAGAACACCGCATCAATTTCAATTTCAAGTGATGTGTATTTGTTGTTGATCAACTTGCAGAGCTCTTCGCCAACTTTGTACGTTTCTTTCAAACTTCTTGTCTCGGGTTTAACCATCAACGAGTCGGTATCTCCATACACAACACTGTACCCCGATTCTTGCACTTGTTCGTATGTCGCAGTCAAAATCTGCCTTCCTTTCTTTGTAATCCACTCGGCTATTTTCTGGCAGTAGAATCGTCCGCCCTTAAACCCCAAACATCCATAAATGGAATTGGTCATGACCTTCACAGACAATTGCTCGGTATTCATCTGCGCCTTTTTATTCTCCTCGTTACTCCCCAATTTTTCCATCTCCGCAACGAGCGCTCTTCTCTTCTTCACCAACTTCGAGATGATTTCTGGAAGAACACATTTCCCGCTCTTATCACCGATGGTGTTATTTGTAAAACACACGGCAAATTCCATGATAATCGACGGGTACAAACTCTTGAAATCAATCAGCAACACCGGGTCGTTGTAGAACTGTTTGACGGGTTCCAAAACCAACCCACCAGCGTATTTCTTGTGTTGTTGTCCTTCCAAATACCGCTTGTCCGGTATCACAAACTCACTTCTCCTCTTCATAAATTCGTGAAGTAACAAATACTCAACGCGTTCCGCCCGCTGTCCGTTCAGCGTATGTGACCAAATGTTCCCCGCCAAATTCGTGAGGACTTTTGTCATTGCAATGACATTCATTTTATTCGCCAACTCCATCTGGAACTTCACGTTCTCCTCTTGGTATTTTCTCATATGTTCAAGTCCCTCAGGAGTGTTCATAAAATCAAACAGTTCGGCACTTGAAAGGGTCAAATCGACGGTTTCCTTTCTCTCCTTCTTCAAATAGTTCGAAACTAACACATCAAGGTCATTGACTTTTTCTCCTCTCAAATATTCTTTAGACAAGACGTACGTGTCGACTAGTAATCTCCCCGACATGAAATTCCTTCCGCTAAAGTTTTTCTCCTTCAAATCTTTCTTAGAAAAGTTGACGCCAGTCTTCGTTCGTTTCAGTCTCCCCAACGTTGAAAATTCAACAATTTTACTTGAGCGATTGATCACATCGAAAAATGGAAGCACATGAGTGATGAAATCGTGAGAAATGACTATGTCAATGTCGTAGATCTGAAAGATGTCGCCAATCTGCTTCACCACCTCCTCAGACGTCAAAAAGAACTTCCCCGCACACTTCGCGTTCTTCTGACTGATGTAAAACGTCTGGATCTCCTCTTTCCATGTTTTCATCGGTTGTGTGATGTTGACGTTTTTAATGATATCGATCGACACCATTTGCGGCTGTTTTGCGCTTGTCGCCAGCACAGAAACGGCGCTCAAACTACACACATTCATTGGCGGATCAAACGCCTTCTGTTCGAGTGTTTTCAACTCGCAGGTCTTGTCCTCCAAGTTCAAAATGTACTCCTTGCACGCCCAACTCTTTTTCAACAACTCGTTTCCCACTTCCTCCGCATTTTTAATAGAAATCCACGACGGTCCTTTGATGCTATACAACGACAACAAAATCTCCTCCGACGTCAATGTTTTCTGATGAATCGCTTTATACGTTTTTCCTCTCTCCGCAACGCTCTCATTTCGGTTGACAAATTCGACGCTGACTCCACGGATGATCTTTTTCATCATTTTTTCTTTGTCTTCTCCGTTATCCTCCGGATTGATGATCATCTCCTTTGTCTCAATTTTCATTTTCGCGTTTCTCATCTTCTTTTGTTTCGTGATGATGTCGTTGATCTCACCGACGACGTCCTCCGCCTTGTTGTCAGGTTTTGGCTCAAAGAACAAAATTTTTGGGATTCCTTTAATGATCAGGCACGCCGACTTGTAGACACTCCCCTCAAGCACTTTCCCAACAAGAAACAAGGACCCCACTGATTCGGGCACAGGCATGATATCAAAGTAGTAGAACTCCTTGTTCACCTTATTCACTTTTGTCCCCACTATCACTTTCGGCTTCACTTCCTTTCCAGATTTCGGGTCGACCAATTTGACGATTTTTTCAACTTTGTGTTCAACGGCTTCTTCTTTCACCAATGTCGTTGAAGCCTGTGGTTTCAACACCTCTTCAATGACCAATTTCGTTTGCACCCGTTGGTCACCTTCTTCTTCGTCAATTTCTTTCGTCGTTTTCTTCCTTTTTTTGATATCGGCTATGTCTTCGTCATCAACATCAGCATACCCGTCTGCCTGCACTTTGGCGCTTTCCAGCTCCATCATGTCAAGCTTCCCCTCTCTTGCTTTTTCGTACTGATTCAGCGCATCATCAATACTCTCGTTCCTCTTCCTACTCATTTTTTTTCTCTTTTTTAGTTGAAATAATTCTTTTTTAATTTTACTACTATTATTTATAGCTTCTCTTTTTTTTCTACAATCAAAAAGTGAGATTGTATTTTTTGATTATCATGAAGTGTTGAATTGAAAGGATCTTTTTTTCGTGAATTCAAAAACCTCAATTTTATTTTACAGTTTTTATTAAAATGTTATTAAAATGTTTTATATAACAAAAAACATTGAAATGTTTAAAACAAAAAATGTTATTTAAAATGTTATTCAACCCAATGAATTTACACCATTCAATTCAATGCTTCTCTTAACTTAATTTTCAAATCTGTCTCTATGACTTGCTCCCCTTCCTCTTTTTGGATATCTTCTAGGCCTTGAATTATTATTTCTTCCTCTGTCATCCCTTCTTCTATAATCTCCGTCTCTATCATCTCTTCTATCGCGGTCTCTTTCTCTGTCCCTTTCTCGGCTGTGGCTTCTAGCTCTCTCCTTCTCTATACTCTTTTTCATTTTCTGTTCGATAGTACTTGGTATCTTCGCCATCCTCCTCGTAAGACATTTCTTATATTAATGGTTTATTATTACTATACTCTAGAATATAGTAATAATAGTAATAATAACAATAATATTAATTAATGGTACTAACAATTGATTATACTATATATATAGTATAATTATTACATATTCTAGTAGAATAGATGTATAGTTATAATTACAAGTAAAACTAATTAATACTAATTACTAATATAATACTTATTACTAATAATAAAATACCATACTGAATTATACAATATTATTACTAAACTATTAACAAACTTTTCAGGGAGAAGAGGAAGCGGTTGACAAGTAAAATACTTATCTTTCAGTGCGTCACTTGCTGTTATTCTTTTCCGGGGGTTGAGCGCAAGCAGTTTTTCGAGTAATTCGAGAAGACCACAATTAATACTTCGAAATTTTGTTTGGAAGATGCATTCTCGTTCCGACGGCATCCGGAGGGTCTTAAAGACTTTCATATTTTTGAACTCGGGCCATTCGGTCTCTTGAGGGGTTCCCAATAAATCCCAAATGTTATTAAGAACTTCAATATCATCTCGCCCTTTAAATATGGGTTCTCTCTTCACCATCTCCGCAAAGACACACCCCACACTCCACATATCTACTGACGAGTCGTACCGTTCTTCTCCTAAAAACAACTCAGGCGGTCTATAAAACGATGTACACATTTTAGGTGTGTATGTCCCAACTTCGTCTTCGTGTCGCGACAGGCCAAAGTCCGCCAATTTCACTATATTGTCTTCCGTAATAAGTACGTTACTCGCTATCTATTATTTCTAATTCTATTTATTATCATTTTACTATAATATGTATAGTATATCAGTATAATAACATTTACAATATATTCATAGTATAATTTATATAATAATATATACTATATACTATACTATAATATATACTATATCTTATTTAATTATAGTATAATATACTATATATAACTATTATAATATATTATTTAATTATAGTATAATATACTATATTATTATACTATATAATTATAGTATACTCGTACTATATTATTATTATATTATAATAGTACGACAAACTCTTGACATCGCGATGTAAAACACTGATTGAATGTAAAAATTGCAATGCAGTCAATATCTGTACCATATAACACTTCATTTCTTCGTCTTCTAAAGGTTTTCCATATTTTATTAAAGTTGAAAGGTCGTGGGGCATATACTCAAAAACGATGGAGACGGGCGTGTTCTTTTTCTCAAAATTCTCATCAGCGATTATCTCGAGAATTTCAACGATGTTTTTGTGTTTGATTTGTTGGAGAAGTTGAATCTCTCGAAGGGAAGTGAGGGAAAAGCCTTCATTCTCTGTCGTCGTTTTCAGTTCTTTGATTGCAACCATTTTCTTGTCGCTCTGTCGTGTTGCTCGAAAAACCGTTGCGTACGCACCATACCCAATTTGGTCGTCCACGGTATAATCTCGAAAAACCCTCACTCCCTGGACGTCCTTCATTTCTGATTATTCCGTTCATCTTTTTTGTTTTTATTGTTTATTACAATACTATCACTTTTTATTACTATTATTTTATAGTTGTTTTACTATCTATTTGTATGTGTTCTTCAAAAGAAAAGGTGAATTAAATTACGTCGTTCACTTCCTTTTCACCATTCACAGTCTCAAAGAACTATTCGTCATTCCAATTGCACTTGTAATGAATAAAACAAAAGAACAAATTATACATAACAAAGAGAAAAATTAACAAACAATGTCAAAACAGTCATCATAAAACTTTACATCAGCAAATTTGGTCTTGAAAATCGCATTGATCTGGTCAAACTTGTCCAACAACTCTTTGCCTGGCTCAACCAAATCTTTTTTGTACTGTTGGATAATTTTCAGTTGTTCCATACTCGGCTCACTCAAATCAACTTCCTTGAAAAATTCAAATTTCTGTTCGTCTGTTAACATCATAAATCGACTTGGAGATACTAAACACGTCCTTTCCTCATCGTTCCCCACTTTCCCCAATATAAGTCGCGCCTCGTCGGGTATGTCTTCCTTCAAACTTCGGATGAACTCAACATTTGCTTTATACAACTCTTTCATTTGGGCAATCTCCCCTTTCATTTGTTTAATAATTTCGCACAACTCTTTTTTGCACTCCCCTTTGAATTGGAAGAACTCCCCCAATTTGCACACAAGATATTGCTTCACTCCACTCACATTTATCGCTTTCAAACATAATTTCAAAAGTCCCGCACTCGGATCCTTTGAAAAGACCAGCGCCAAAACCGCTTCCAACTGGTCTTCATTCTCAATCACTTTCAGCACGTTATACACAACATTAATCAAGCTTTCCTGAATTTGACTCGACGTCTCTCCCGTCTTCATGAAATCAACAAACTCGTCGCACACCAAATTCTGAATCACCATAAACGGATCGTCCTTTGTGAACGACTCAATGACCGTCAAATACACACTGGACTCTATCAAGTCGTTGTACCTTTTAATCAGTGAATCAAGTAACTTTGTTTTTTCCTCCACGCACAAAAATTGAATTGCATGAGAGCTTGTCCTCACAATAACATCTCCAATATCCTCTTGAAGTACTTCAACACTCTTTTTATGGGATGTGTTGTCTCTTGTGTATTCTTCGTATGACAAAAAAACATCAGAAAACTTCGCCTCGTTTTTCATTTTGACAAGTAATTTTGGGGGTACCAATTGTAAAGCACCGCCAACAACAGTAAACCAGTTGTTTCCATTTCTGATAAAGGCGATGTTGTCGTTTGTGATTAACGCCTTCAGCACAAAGCGTTTTCCAAATTCGTTGTATTCATCTTTAACTTCAAAGTGCATTGGCCGTTTTGTTGTTGCATAAATCTCGGTGTTCTGTTCGTACGTGAAAACCTTTCCAATAAACGTTTTGCAAATTTCGTTGATCACGATCTTAGGCTCATCGATTGGTGTGAAGTTCAACTCGCACATTGAAATGCCGTTCTTCTTTGCAAGCAGCACTACCCCGTTTTCGCTCATTAATAACAGTGACACAAGTTCTGAAACATCAACAGACCGTGGTGGAAATCTTGAGAACACCTCACTCGTTTTCGCAAGTGGACAGGAGGTTTCTCCTTCTTTCAACAGTGATGCCACAATGAAAATGGCGTTTGTGATTTTCTTATCGTCGCTCGACGCTGTCGAGTGATACGACAATTCGACCTTCCCCAATTTCGTCTGGATGTTCACGGATTTAACCACAGAGTCGCCAATGACTTTTTTGACTCGTTCTGACTTTCCCAGTATCGAGTAGACCAAGTTGATACTTTGCGGTCCCAACATCACCACAGTATTCTCTTCTATACTGCCGTATTGCGGTAAAACGTATGAACAGAGTAACATACACAACTTCTGTGTGACAACCTTAAACCCAAACTTAGTAGTAATCTCGTTGAGTAAATAGAGTAATGCGTATGTGTTAAGGTCTTCATCGAAAGCGCCGTTTTCATTCATAGTAAACGAAAGAGGAGTATCGAAAAAGTCGGTGAGTTTAACAACAGTGTTAATCCCCGACTTAAGTCCCTTTAAGATGTCATTGACTACAAGAGACACATCTTCCAAACTCATTTCAAGGCCACTTTGGGCCAACCCGATCACCTCAAACGCGTTTCTATCGACAACAGAAAGTTTCTTTGCTTTGTTGTCAGTCCTTGTCTCTTTCTCTGCACAACATCCAAGATAGCAAAAAACCGCCTTATCTACAACCGCTCGTTCCACCTTTGCAATCTCATCACCACTCAATTTGACGTCATTGAAAACGCATAATTTCAAAACGGCAATCACCGTTCTCAGTCGGACTGTTGGATCCTCTTGAGTGAGGCAAAAGTCAAGAGCCTGGACAAGTTGATTGTGGGCGATTTTGAGCACTCGGTACTCAAAATGAGAGAAAAAGATTGCGAGGAGGGTCGGAACGGTGGCATTGAAAGGGAAGGAAAAAAGAGGGGAAGGGATGTTGGAAAGGACTCGGAGAAGTTGGTTGGGCATCCCAGCCACCTTCTTTTCGAGTAACTCTCCAAACACCACAAAGAACATTTCCCATGGGAAGTCGGTGGTGCACTCTCGTGGGATTGTTGGTGGTACTGGCGGCACACTTTTCACTGTAATTGTTTGCTTTGGGAATAACACAAAATTACTGATCTTTCGCGAATGAAAGATCTTGTCAATCAAATCTGGAAATCCAATATACAAATTGCCTGGAACAGAGAACTGTGAAGAGATTGTTTCAAGAAAGTCATGAACGGAAAGACTGGTGTCAACAGTGTATGGGACGCTCACGCCATTGATGTTCAATGTCACAGGAAGGTGGAATGATTTGAAAGAGTTGTTCGACTGGGGCACGGAGTTGACAAACATGTCACAGTAAGTGGCCAACCGTGAAGGGTCACTCTTGATCTTTTCAAGAAAAAGTTTCATATTTTCGGTGTTCATTGGTGTGTTTTGAAGTTTTGCTCTTTTTGAAGTTCAAAAAGCTTGAGGTTTGTGTATGATTTTTTTTAAATTCATTGTATCACTGTATTAGACATTATATTATATTAATCCATTCTAAAGATACTCCAATAAAAAAAAATGATTTAATTATTGGAAATAAGGGGGGTACGAAATAATGCCTCTAACCCCTTTCAAACCGTCTTTTGTCAATTCCATGATCATACAGAGCTTCGGATCGCACTCGAAAAATGAGTGCACATCATAGTCGATTGACTGAACGAATCCAAATCTGGAATACAAATGGGTGTCTCCAAATACAGTGATGTGTGGAAATTTCATTTCCTTAGCTCTTTTGATGAGCTCTCTCACTAGTGCAGATGCTATTCCTTTTCTCTGTTTTTCGCGTGTGGTTGCAACCGGCCCAAGGACTAAACTCTCCACTTTATTCTCTCCGTCAGTGATCCACATTTTACTTGCGATGGCATATCCCACTATTTTTGAGTTTTCTGTTGCGACAACAGATAATTCTTTGATATAATTCTCTGATTTTCTGATATCGTTAATAATGTCTTGTTCCCTTCCGCAGGTGTGTTCCGCATGTGCGAACGCGTTTTTTACAATTTCGTATATTTGTGGGTAGTCTTCTTGTTGTTCTGTTCTAATTTCCATTCAATTATTATTACTTATTCGAGATGCATCCAAACAAGTACTTATTGAGTCATGTCTAATAACATTTCAAAAAACAATAAAAATTAGTCGACAAAGGAATTGAATACCGAAAACATTTTGGATGAAGCCTGGTGTGCCGTTCTATTTCTTTCGCTCTATTAATTACTTCCTCTGTTATTCTATACATTTAGAACCCAACAAACTTCCGGTGCCGCATCAAATAACATAAATGTTTGATTACACGTATCGTCCAACTGAAGCACTGACGCTCTATTCCCGCATCTATAACAATAATTCGGTGCAGACCATACTGTGCAGACTTTATTATTCAACTTCCATTCAAATCCCTCCATCACTATTTGATGGGCTCTCGCCACAAAGTCCAATTTGTTCACCAGCAGAAATTCGTCAACCGCTTTTTGTCCAAAGAGATATCCAGCTCCTCGAATCGATGGTTTCCACGTCTCAACGTCATTATCAGGGTCGGACCACATCAAGTCGCACATCGATCCGCTCGCAGGGGCTTCGTGCAGTCGGTCTAATTTAGCAATCTACTCGTTACTAATTAATGTATAGTATAATATAGTATAATTTACTATTAATCACTCGTCGACGATATAGTATTAAATAATACTATTTAATACTATATATAATAGTAAAAATGTTATACTATATCTTAATAATAAATATACTAACAAACGTCGTCAATAGTTTTGATCTCGGGGGAAAGCCCACCATGGACACATACGATCTTCCCGTCGATGACAGCAGAGAGCGAAAGCATATCAAACAAGTCGCAACACATTTTCCACATCTCAGGACTCCCAAATTTTTTGAGGCATTCCTCATAGAAGCCATATGTCTGTGAGATCTGTCGCGTTTCATGGTTTCCACGTAATAAAGTGATTCGTTTGGGGTATCGTATTTTGAGTGCCAGGAGGAGTTGGAAGACTTCGATCCCGTTAACCCCGCGGTCGACAAAGTCGCCCATGAAGATGTAGTTTGTCTCTGGGACTCTTCCTCCGACTCTAAAAAGCTCTAACAAATCGGGAAATTGGCCGTGCTCACTGTTATTCTATAATTATAGTATAATTATACTACATTTTTGATTGAATAGTTTAGAATATAGAATATAATTATTATATATATAATAATATAATATTATAATAATAATATATTAATAATATAATTATAATAATATAAGAATAATATAAAGTTATAATATTATAATATTATAGAATATAGTTTATTTTAAGCAAAGTGAAAAAAACACAAACCAAATCGCCACAAATGGTGACGGGAAGAGCAATTGAAACGACGTTCTTTTCTGCTAATAACACTTCCTTTGCTTTTGGGTAGAAAACTTCTTTAAATATTTGTTCAGTGACGAAATCGCCTTGCCAGAGTTGTTCCAAGTACTTGTCGATGCCACTCATATTTTCTTTTTAATTTTCAGTTTCTTTTTCTTCTTCATATCCCGTCGTTCCGCATCAATTTTCAAAATCTTAGTCCTTTTTATACTCGAATCACTATGACTCCATCTAAGATTTTATTAATACAATTTTTTTCGGTTTTGTGGAGAAGAAAAAAGGAAACTCAAAAAGATGATGAAAGGTTACACTTTCAAGCCTATTCCACTCTTCTCTAATAACAAAGCTTTAACTGATACTATTGCTAAGAACGATATTAAACAAATCATTTTCACGCCTCCATCCGTTCTCATTCGGCTCGACAACGACTGCATTTTAACCTTCAAAAGTAACGTTTGTCTCTTGACGCAGAGTATAGTATATTAATAGTTAAATGTACTATATTTATAATACAGTTTTGTGGAGTGAAGGGAGTCACCCATAGGGCGCGTTGCTCCGGTTGGACCAGCTGACGACCGCGACGAAATTTGTTCTGTTTGACAAACAACATGGAGTTGTCATACGAAGTGGAGAGGACAAAAGACTTGTCTTCAATATTTTGGCAAATGACCAAATCTTTTCGGCGCAGTCGAAGATCATACTCAACATCCCTTTCAAGAAGACTGACGAACTTTTTGTCTACCACCACCCGACGGACTTGTTTGTGTTTTGTGGATATGACTCGTTTGAGGCGATCGAGAATGATGTACTATATTATATAGTTTATTAATAGAACAGTAAAATAGTTTGGAAGAGTTTAAGAGGATTCTAACCTTCAGCGTTATCTTCATCTCGTTTAAGGAATCCCAAGTGATTTACAGGATCAATTACAACATTGTTTATCTCAACACATTGGGGGATGAATGTGATAGAACGCAGATGTGTACATTTAAAGTGATCAGTGAACCCCCGGTCGAGATCTTAGTTTCCGGGCCAATACTTCATTTAAAAAAATTGGGGAGCTCGTTGGTAGCTTTAAAAATAGTTTCGAAAGATAAAAGTAACTATTCTGTTTATGATATGGCGCTCAATGTATTACAAGATATCCCTTTTATTCATAACTCACATCAAATTTATTTACTGCAAAGATATAACGATCTCGTCGCTATTCAACCAAATGGTGACGTGTACATTTTAAACACCACATTTGCTCTGCCTATGCCTATCAAAATCGACTGCAAATTCAATCTCCCAAATGAGAGGTTCTCACTTTTTGTAGATAATGACGTCATCATCACACTAACACATGACCTCGTTTCGTACTTCTCACTCAAAACGAAAAGCGCAATAGGACAAACGAAGATTGAAGGGAAATTCAATCCCTCAACAATCATCCCGTGGCGGAACGAAACGAATCTTGGCCTCTATGACACCACGAATCACTTTTTCTATCAAATCGTTCCGACAACGAAAGTCTTAGTCATCTCAAGCAAAAAAATCCCGATGATCGAAGCAATCGACGCTTCGTTCGCAGAAACGCTGAAAAAGTTATGGAAGGTGCCACGTCATTTTGTTGACACGTTTTTGAGTGAAATGCAGAGTGTGACGCTGTTCATGTGTCTTCCCCGTGAAAAACATTTTGTTGACTTAACGGTGGACCGCATGAAAAAAGAAAAAATGACTTATACTTGTACTATTCAAATACTAACAACTAACTTAAATAATTTCCTTGAGAAAGTCGAGGCGCATGGGGACGAAACTAAACTTATAGAAAAAGAACTATATATTACTTTTGGCGAAACGGTTGTTGTCTCACAAAAGGCACAACGAGAACTCGGATTAATGAGATTTGAGAAACTGGGCGCAATCTGCCGAAAAACATTTTTGAAAGATCCCAGCCAGATTTTGTTATTTGTCTCTCAACTCAAAAAAGTCGGATTCGACAGGCAACAGGCAACACACATCGTTTCGCACATTTACACGACTTTTCTTTCTTCGTTTTCGCAAAGTGAATTATCAGATGATCAAAAACACGTGATCTCCGTGTTATATTTAGTTCTCTATGGCGTCGATAACATTTTGAACAAAACTAAAACATTTTCTAAAACAAATTTCTTCCCACAATCACAAGAACGAAGTGTCGTCCACTTTGAAAAGATGATGAACGTGATTGACGTCATTCGGGATAATTCGGTTTTCGGCTACGACCAAAATTGGTGGTTTGAGGCTTATCTCAAAACGTTGACGTTTTTACTTTTGCAAAACGATACTGATACTTTTATGAAAATCTTGAAGAGAAATAACAAAGAAGTCCAACAAAATATTGTTGAGGAAATTTTGAGCAATTTGATCCTCGATAATTCGGGAAATGGGGAAAACAGAAATTTCTTGATGAAATTGTTGGCAGAGGAGGAGTAAATGATTAGTATAATTTAATTAAAAACTGGTTTTTTTGAAAACATTTTTACGGTATTAATAATATATAGAATTATTAACTATACTATTAATATGCTATATCACAATTAAATACTGTACTATTATATAGTTTTAAAAATAACAATGTTTCACATTTTAATAATTTGTCATTATTCACGAGATTAAAACTAGCGGAACGAAAGTACTTTTAAGAAGCAAAAATGACATGAAAAGCATCGAACTTGCGAAATGAGCTACGCAATGGGAGTGACCAAGGTACCAGCCGAGGTCAAGAAAGATGTAAAGACGGAGCAAGAGTGGACATTAATTGAGAAAAAGCAAACACACTCAATTTACTTTGGCGAGATGAGAAAAACAAAAGACAAGGCGCTCCTTGTCCGAATGGAGTGCCAGCTCGGTAAAGCCACACCCGAAGAGGTCTTTCAGGTTCTGAGCGACAACAAGTACCTCTCAGAGAAAGGATTATTCGAGATGAAAGCACAGGACTTTTGCGACACGGCACAAAATGAGACGCAGCTCAGATTAATTTCGAGCATTTTCCACTTTAAGCCGCGAGAAGCTGTCGTCAGCCTCAAACGCGAGATCAACGAAGATAAATCGATTTGCGCGGCAACAATAATCAGCATTGAAAACGAAGAGGTGCACCAGGGCAACATTAAGGTGTGCTTCAGGCCGTCAAGTGTAGTAGCTTCAAAAGTTAACGAAGTTAGTAATGTAAGTACAATTGCTGTAATAAACATGGACATGCAGGCAGGTTGGGTTCCGAAAAACGCGTTTGGGAATCACATTCTCAAGCGGATCTCTCGGCAGATCATCTCAAATTTCGTTGCATCGGTCAATGGGTATCAGAGGTGGAAAAATGCGAAGTGAACTATTTTCACATATTGTGTGTTTAAACATAATCAGATATTCACGATTTGGTTTTGGTCACTTAGTTGTTCCCATCGATCTTTGAACAACAATCGATGTTTTCAATACACAAGTTTTAGTGTCGAAAAACAATTCAAAAGGCTAAAAAGATCAAATTGTTCAAAAATCCATTGCAGATTATACAAAAAGAACAACAACCAACCGAACTTCACAATACATCTACTTATCTTGTGCTGTGAAACACCGGACAACGTATCGTTTGTCAATTTTGTCTGTGTTCAAATTCCTTTTTTGAGTGTAAAAATTGAATAAAAAATCCTTTATGATCTAAAATAAAAACACAATTTTCATTTATATTGTTGTTATGCGTTTTAATCTTAAAGACACCTTATTTTGACCATTCATTTTCATATAGTTTATTATAATTCAATTAAACTATACATATAGGTTTCAGTCCATGTCATTTACCAAACATTATTTTTGCGGTTATTTGGTCACAACCAACTAAACAGAAGAAATGGAGATTTCATTGTTTTTAAAAAATATATTTTTTTCATTTTTTAAATATACGAATTGTCTAAAACAGTATTTCTTTACATCTTCTTTTAATTTTAATTTTACTTTTAATTTTAATTATATTTCAATGATAAAACAAACAACCAAACTACAGTTCTTTTGTTTTTGTAATAGTAAACACGTTGACGTTGTTTGCACTTAAAATTTGATTCAATTTTTTTCTACTTTCCCATAAAAAATAAAAAATCAATTGTACAGTAGGGAAAATGAACCTTAGCCCAGGAAATGTACTTTAGCCCAAAGAAATTACTATATTTTTCTTTAAAAACACGGGTTTTTACTAAAAAACAAATATTTAAGAAAATTGACTTTTATTTAGATATAGTTTATTATTTTAATATAACAATAAAAAATAATTAGTTTTTCTATGGGCTAAGGTTAATTTCCTGGGCGAAGGTTTAATGGCCCTACTGTAATTTCTTGAGTGATCTAAAACATCATTGTTGATGGTTAAAACCTAATCAACTTTGTTAATCTAATCATTATGTATTTTAAATGGCTTTTTTGACCACATGTAATAATATAAAGTACATTCCTTTTTAATCTTATCTGATTTGTTCAAATGGCATTTCATGAAAAACTTAATAAGCAATGATCTTCCCGATGTATCACATATCAGTGACGAATTATCATCTTGTTGTTCCTTTTTCATATAAAAATAAGTTAGTTAAAAGGTGAACGTTTCGTAAAAACGAATTATTAAAATGCCAAATTAAAAACCTTTTTGAAAGTTTTATTTATTAGATAAATAATTATCGTAAGCCTTTGTGATTATTCGAATACAATTGGGAATATCAAGGAATCCTTTTGGATATTTGATGACATCAGCAAACGTTTCAAACGTGTAACAATAAAAATAATGAAGAGAATTGAGAAAACAATTGTTACCTTTTGAAAAATAAATTTGTCGACGTTCTTGTTTTTGTCTTGGATCTTTCTCTTCTTTCTTTTGAAATAAAACCAAATATGAAAGACTTCCCATTTCTTTAATGATCTTTGCTCTAACCAACGAAATAAAACTGAAAAGGGACAACAATAGAAACAGCATAATAACATTATACCTATTTTTAACATGAAAAACTAATTTATCCCTTTTGTTCTCGTTTTAGAATAATGTTTTCGGCTCTTATTTAAATGATTGAACTTGTTAATAGTCCACCTAAGATGTCCACATTCACTCCAACAGATAAAAGTCTCTATGAAGTTTTATTTTCTCTCTCTTATAAAGAAAAGGTTTCATCGTCACCAGTGAATCAAAAGAAACCACGGACATCTAAAAAGAATGTCCGAAAGACTAAAAAACGGTGGGACAACAAATTGAAAGCAGAGGCAGTCAAAAAAGCTGATGAACTTGGGTTGACTCACGCAACTATCTTTTTACAAAAAATGCAACCAGAACATTTCGCCAAACTTTGCCCAAGTACTTTACAATATTGGGTCAGACAGTGTGATCATCAGAGAACAACTTTTGGATTTCTGGACGCGTGAAGATTGTTGAATAAAATAGAGTTAATTATTATATTATTCATTATATCCTTTTTAACCATTTTCATATAACTCACTGGACTTCATTATATTACAGTTAGTTATCTGAATTCTGTTCTAAAATTGGGTTATTATTATTTATAATATGTTCAATTAAATATATAATATAAATAGAACTTGAACTAATAATAGAACTTCATGTTCAAACCTATTTTAAGTATTATTCTTTCTTCTTCTTTTTTAACTATCTTAAAAATTTTATTTTTCAGATTACAAGTCTGGTGGAAGTTTCATTTTAATTTATTTTAATTACTTGTTCCAATAAAAATAGATAGAATGGTATTGCTTATCAATAGACATAACATTTAAATACTCAGCAGTCATTACCGTTGAAATTAAGCATACAAAAAAACATTCCATTAAATAAATAATAATAAAATCATAAGTTAACTTCTAATTTATTTATTTGTTAAAATAAACTATGGTAATGACTCTATTAATTAATATCATATTTAAGCCATATTGATAACACAGAACCAACAGCACTACCTATAGATATTAAAAGAGAACCTAATACACCACATATAGTCATAGCACCAACTGTTTTAACATGCGAGTGTATTTTTTTAAGAGACTTATCACATGATTCTGGATATAAATAAGGGTCTACACTACACACTCTAGACAATGTTCTATCTTCATCAAAACAACAAATTTCATTAATTTCATATTGAGCCAACTCTTCTTCATAAAATGTATAATTAGAATTGGACTCTTTATACACTCCAATACTCTTATCTTTGTGAATGACCATACTCCCAATTACACAGAAGACTACAGCACCTATAAGAGGTACTACACAATACCAAATGACAAACACGCCACCTCCTGGATATAATGTAAACATCCAAAACACGATATACAACACACACATAATAATTGCAATATACCCAAATGATGACCCAACTCGATAAACAAAATTAAGTTCATTAAATGTATTTGGATAGTCATTATATGTATCTTTAAGTATATACGTAGACGGCAGTGTTACTATACCTACTGACAATAACAACACCCCAAGAAAAATCAGAGGTGCTATAAAGACTATTGTACACACCATCCGAGCAAAACTTTCAGCTCCACACACCATAGTCTATTATTTTCGTTCACTCATGAATTTCGAACTATTAAGCACATCAGTATATTAACTATTAATTATAATTAATATTATTATAATTATTGTTCAAAGACTATAGAATTGAATTCTATTTTTATTTTAATTGATATTAGTATATTTATAATTCTATTTTACTATGAATTATAATAATATTTCAGCTTCTTTACTCATCAAAAAATAGTACAAAACTATTGATAACAAATGCTATTCTTTAATTGTTTTTTATTATTAAAATAACTATTCAGACACATAAATCACTTTTCAGTACAAATGCCATGATAAGATACCTTACATTTAATGAGGAATTCAGTTTGAATCTATTTTTAAATACTATTTAATGTAATTCATTTAACAATACCTTAGAATAGTTTATATCTAGTACTAGTAAATTAGATAAATAGAATTTGTTATTAACTATAAATTGATAATAAAATAACTATATCACTATAGTTCCTAGTCAATTCACTCCTCGTAGTGTTCGATGCAGTCCATCCACATTCCATCGCCTGCAAATTGGTACATTGCAATGGCAACGCCTGTTTTGACCTTTTTGATATCATCTGAGGACAGTTTCATCTGTCCAATTGCTATTGGGTTCTGTTTCCCTTCGGCCATGATCAACACAAACTCCCCTTCTTTAATGCCATCATCGAGTTTCGCGCCTTTGGAAAGAAGCCCCGGAGCCATCACATCACTCCCAGCAAGAAGGTGTTTGATTGCTCCAGTATCTACCTGGACTTTTGTCATCATCTCGGGGTCTTGGGGTCAAATAACATTTTTGGTGCTGTTAAAATGTTATATATAACATTTGAATAACAAAATAATGTGGTGGAACAAAAAAGTGAGAACAAACATGACATGGCGAGATATAATGTCGGAACGAACACGTCTGATTTGTGTTGGAAAAAGTAGACTTTGTCATTAACTAACATAGCCGTTGAGTGGTCCAATTTTGAGTTCGCGCAATTAATGGGAACGTCTTTTGGAAATATAGTGTCAATAGGAAGGCCCGGATAAAGTTCTTTGATTTTAGCCTTGGCGTGTTTTGCGAGCGTAGCTTTCATTTGCTTCAACGGTCCAAAATCGTTTCGCTTGAATTTAGCAAACATTTGAATTACTTCTTAGTTTTTTTTTTATTTTTATAGGTCTTTGTTGAAACTATAATTTTATGGTATTTATACTATTAATTTATCCATTTTTTTGATTGTGTTATTCAAAATGTATTTTTTTCTTTTTAATTATTTCTTTGTAATTGTTCCATTATAAAATCTGATTAAAATGAAAGATTATGTAATAAAAGTCATTTGAACTACAAAATGAATTACATTAAAACAATTCTTCAAAATTTACACCTTTCATTGCTGAAGAAAAATAACGAGTTGATAGCATCTCTTTCCACACATTTTCGTCATTGATGTACTTCTCGTCTGATCTGAACTTGTGGACAATCTGGATAATCAATTGTTTGAGATCGCTTTTCGTTTTGATGGGCGGTAAACTATAATTAATAGGAAGTAAACCATCCAAATAGTTTTTCTCGAGAATTTCCTTTGCGTTTTTGTACTTGTCAAAAATGACGGAGGTGAACGACAATTTGATGAGTGGCAAGATCGCTTCCGCAAAATAATCTCGAAAGATTTTTGAGAACTTTGCCGGAACGAAAATACGTTTAAGGCGCGCAGAAATACGGGAACCATACACGTCTTCAATGTTGAGACTCTCAAAACTCCGCACCTCCTCGTTGGAGACAAAACTCATCCGATCTAAAGTGGTGTACTCAACCATTTGGAACGCATGGACGTTCAACAAACTGACGACATTTGCCCAACATATGTTGTTCATTGAGGCATCAACATTGAAGCATTCTCGCCACTCAAACGTCTCTGTGTTCTCGTCCAACACAAACCGGGTCTTGTCAAAATTGCCAAGCGCCGAGGGTACAAGCGCAAGTTGTGCTTTCGGCGTTTGGTTGAAAAATGGCGAGATGCCACGAACAAAGAGGAGGATGTGTGGGATAAATCCAAAGAAGTCATACGATATCGTCACTTCGTCGAGACTTGTAAGAAGTTCTTGAGCTTCATTATCACACCCGCTATAGAGTCGAAGATACACACCACACGCTTGGGCCTCGGAGACTTCCTGTGGTGTTAAACTCCGCTGCTCCAAAATTGACCGAATAGTACTTTTGATGTATAAAATTTGTTCCTTCTCGCAAGTGTACGAAACAAGTTCGAACTTGTCGTTGAGGTCTTTCACTTTTTTTAATTCCGTCATCTCAATCACTTCATCTTTGTTTTCGATGTCCAGCGCCTTTGAAAAGACGTTAGTCAGCTGTCCATCGTCGTTCTTGAACTTTTCAGTGAAGGGAAGTAAATCCTTAACGATGGTTTTGAGCGATATTGCCAGTGTGATATTCGCAAGCCGAAGTTGCGCAGAGTTGTTCTTGTCACTCGCAATACGAGCAAACATGTTTGCAGTGACAGCAGTTATTATACATATGAGGCAGTTGTTCAATTCCACAAGTTCCTTCAAAAAATAGGGCATTCTCTTGAATGTGTTTTTCCCAAAGATTGAGATGATCATTTCAACAAAGCTGCAAACGCCTTCCATTGCGTCCAAAAAATTGGCGATCTTCTGCAGCGCGTCTGTTTGCGTCAATGAGAGAAACAAATCGCAGTCATTTGCCTCCAAAACGTCATAAAATGAGATCGTAGCACGGACGTCCGTGTAAAAAAAGTCGTACATGTTTTTGATGATGCTCTCCATCCATTCGAAGTTCTCTTTCTTCTGCATTTCGGAAAAGGTTGAAAAGAGTTCCAACGACTTCAGTCGAGGCGTGTTACGAACACCCAAATCAATATTCAAGTAATTTACCATTCCCTGCAGACCGACAAGGAGTGATTTTTCAAATTGAGTCCCACTCACAGAACTTGACATTATTCGACTCGCACAATCACAAAACGTCAGTAACGAGTTATCCACATAATTTTTATTTAGTCCCAATTGGGTTTTTAACTGCGCGAAGATCAGTTGAAGTGTTGGAAAAGGTCGGACGAAATACTGTGTTGCAAGGGAGAGCAAATACGTGATTTTCGGGGTGTTAAATTCGATGATTTCTCCTTCAAACTTGTTCACTTGTTTCCCGACGTTCTCCGAATTTTGTCTCCCAAAATTCTTGAGCGTCTCTTTCAAATTTTCCGTCTTCGCTTTTTTGAGTTCGAAGGGACGTGTTTTCTCGTCTTCTTTGTTTTTGCAATTGTCGATGATATCCAAAATGTCGCAGAAGATGCCCATCAGTGTTCGGACGCGTCGTTGTTCGTCTAAAGTGTATCGAATTGTGTTCATTGAGTTATTCACCATTTCAAACGTTTCTTTCATCTCAGAAACTTCTTTATTTTCCTTATCAAAACTGGAAGAGATTATAAAGCCAATCCGGCACACCTCTGCAGCTACTGAACATGGAATCAGCATTTCTCCACATCCACTGTACTTCTCTGTTATTAATTGATACTTACTGAGAACTGGAGAGTACTCGTTCTCGTCTCTCTCGGGTTTTTTGTCACCAAATAAGGATGTCCGCCTCATCAATTATTCAGATGATATTTTCTTTCTATTTTCTTTGAATTTTTTCTAGTTGTTTTTCTCAGTCAACGATCTTAACCAAACTGTTAATAATGTTTATTTTATTATTGATAATAATAAAATTATTATATCATAATATATAATATATAATATTATTTATTGTAATTTAGTTTATTATATTATTATTTTATTACTAATATATTAAATATTTTATTATTATAATAATTATATTTTTAATAATTTTATTATTATTTTATTACTAATATATTAAATATTAATAATATTTAATATATTAATTATTTTATTATGATAATAAATATATTAGTATTCGGTTAATAATATATTAATAATATTAATAATCTAATTTATCTCTAATTCGAAGATAATTCATAAAACGACAATTATCATTATATAGTAAAAATGTAATATAAAATAATACTATTTATAGTATTACCACAAAAAGTATTGTTTTAACTGAACATACGAAATTGCATCCCATTATTTTCCGTCGCTTGAGCTTGTGTCCTCCCTGAAGACGATAGAAGCAGAGAAGAAGAAAGAAACGATAATGACGAGAGTTGAGAGCCAGAAGAGGATAGCCACAAGGAATCCCATAATACCGCACATAGGGAATATAATAAGACCTCCGACCAAGTAGAAAACGATGAGTGTAGCTCTGTTGTAAGCGACTTTAATAGTCACAATGAACTTGAACTTTCCGAAGAAAGAGAAGAAAGGGAGAGCAACAAAGATGATACCAAAGACTATAAGAACTAAAGCCTCGAAGACTAATGAGAGCCCACCTTGACTTTTTATCAAGTTGTTGTGTTTCTTTGTCGGGAACCGATATTTTGTGAAGTCGTTGGTACAAAAGTGAGTAATACCAGTCGCTACCATTAAAAGACCGGAAAGGACTACCCAGACTAAAACAAAGATTTTCATCGCAGTGGAGCATTGAGCGTTGTTGACAACTACCATTCCTTAACTATTTAATACAGTTCTTGAAAAATCGTCACCTTCAAAGGCGTTTTCTGAGTCAAGGAATAAATTCTAATTGAACGAATTTTCGGATTTCACGTGGAAAGTATCCTATCAAACGGGGTTTGGGCTTGTCTGTTGAGTCTGAAAAAGACTAAAACACTCCGCTTTTTTTACTTCCTTTAATTAGGCGTTTATTGCTATTTGTATAGCTTTTTTTAATACTTTTTATTATTACTTTTGTTAAAAATAATATAATTTGATGTTAAATAGTATTACTTTAAAATGTTGCAATCAAATGTGTTTTTTGAATTAAAAACATTTTTGGGAATATTCATAATTTATTATTATTTAATAATTAAAAATATTATATTTTGCTAATTTTATGTTATTTTTTTATTAGTTTTTGTTTTTTTTATTCCCAAAAATACTTTAAAAAGGAAATAAATCACAATTTGTCATTTTTTTTATCATGAAAAAAGAGCTATTTGTAGACTAACATGAATTTATTATTTATAGTTTTTTTATTATTGATATAATAATGTCTCTGGAGAAGATTTAGTCATAAAAAAACTTTTAAAATAGTCTTTTTTTTACAATTTATTCACATTTTATTTTTTGAAATTAAAAAAGTGTCTCTTTGAAGTTTTATTTTAAGTTCTAATTGTAATGATTCAAAATACAATATAAATGTTATAAAAATGTTATTTTTTGATAAATGAATTGTTATTCTAAACTATAAGTTAAATTTGTTAAATAATATTAATAATTTGTTAATTAAATAATAATAAAAATTGTTAGTATAAGTTATTATATATTATAATTAATTATTATATCAAATAAAAGATTTTGATAAAAATGTCAGATAATTTACAATAAATGTGGCAATGTATTAATTTTGGTAAAAAATTATTATACAAACACGAACATTTAGTAACAAACTGATTAAAATGCCGAATTACAATTGTTTTTTCACTTTACAAATTACAAAAAATAGATAACTAAACTATTTCAAACCTAAAAAATATCGTTTATTTTTGGAAGTATTTTCTTGAACGAAATTGTTGAAGAAAACGTTTGAATTAAAAAATAAGAAACAATTTTTTACTTTTATTATAAAAAATCTTTCTCAAATCCCGTTTTTCTAGTAAAAAAAGTCATTATTATACTTTTCAAAATAGTAATTAAATTACCAAACGAAGACACCCACGACTTAACTGAGAGAAGTTACAAATACAAACAAATCGCTTACTCAAGAAACTAAAAAAGAAATGAGTTTAGAGGTGTTCCCCGACGAGGCGGAGAATTTCTATACTCTTCGGATTTTATCGACTGAAGTAGTTGATGGTATAGCTCTATTAAAAGTCTCTGTCTCGTCTATAGAATTAATGTGGACCATATACCGACGATGGGATGAGTATGTGAAGTACTTAATATCCCTTCAGCGGATCACACCTGTTCGTCTTATAGTATTTAAAGAGCAAAACCAAAGTGTAGCTCTTTCTTCTAAGACTTCCTTAGAGAGTTCCATCAGTTTCTTACAGAATTCTACGCACCAGATTTTAGCCTTTGACCAAGTTCAAGCGGAAATCGAGAAGTCAAGTTATTTATTTGATTCCTTCGAACCGTCTTATATAACACTCAAAGTCATCCATCAAGGCTTCCTCGAAGTCAAAAGTAGTTTGTCGAGGTATGAAGACCCCTTCACAAAGGCCTTTGCAGTGCTTTCTGAGTCGAACATCTTTTATATGTATCACTCACCAAGTGAATATTCCCTTCCTCTTTTCCAAGCGACTCTTCCGTTTCTCTCGTGTGTGACTGTCCCGGAGAATTCAAATTACATTTTCGTCCAAATTTCACATAAAGAAATTTTGATGTTAAAAACGCCAAATTACATCGAGACGGAGTGGTGGAGCAAATTCTTCATGCGGAGTGTTTCTAAGAGTCATGTCCCTGGTATCATTAAAGACGCATTTAAAGCTATTTCCAATGAGAGTCAATCCACCTTTGAACATTGCTGTCATGAGTATAATCCACACAAGAAGAAAGTCTTGCGCAATGAAGTGAAGAAACAAATGCAGAGTCAAAACGTCTCCGAAGCTATCACTAAATTAAAGAAGAAAAACATCATTAAAAACGTCGGCGAATTCGTCGAGTTATCCGTCCAAGCCTTAACCGGCGCTACTCTCCCTAACATACAAAGCGCTTTAAACTCTTTCGTCTGTTTAACAGTCAACGACGTCGTCGTGACTAACTCCTCTAACATCAAAGACGTCGCCTTGACCAGTGCCGACGTCGTGAGGATCCAACCCATTAACAAGGAGATGCAAATGCTCTTCGACTCGACCGTTCAAAATGAAGCCAAATTTTTAACTCTTAAAAACGCTAATGAGACTCCCAAAACTCCTGGGAATCTCCCTTTGGTCTATTTCCCGAATGAACAGCTTGTAATGGTCTATTCTAATATCGTCCACATCCACACGAAATACGACTGCGGCCCCCCGACATGCTGTACCGGGTTGGACCCCATTCCCGGGACGATTCTTATAACGTCTGCGCGCCTCATCTTTCGTGTTCAAAGACAGTCTGGTACAAGTGAGTCTGATGGGTTGTTCAGTTCATTTCATGGGAAGTGTAAAGAAGAGGGCTTTGAGATCCCGATACCTCTCTTCTACCAAATTCGGAAGGAAAAGATAGCACTGCCGACTGTTGGGATCTTCTCGTGTGTGATTGTTAAGTGCAAGAACTTCCACAGCTTTGTGCTGGCGTTCTTTGATGGGGAGAAGGCGGACGAATTGGAGCAGATTGTCATTAAAGCGGTGAGTCGTCGGACGATGACGGAGGTCTTTTACTTTAAAGGAGTTTACGAAGGCCCAAATTACTTGAAAGACTTTGAACGAATGAATTATAGAAAAGCGGGTCTGTCGTTGTATGAAAGTGGTGTGAAAAGCTACCCTTCACGGATTGCTTTGCCATCACAGATGACGCCGGAAGACATCTTACAGATTGTGAACTTCAGAAGTAAAGGGAGGATCCCCGCTATGAGTTGGTGGAATTATGAGAAGAAAATGTACCTCTTACGAAGCGCTCAGCCCCTTGTTGGCTTGACGACGACGCGGAATTTTGCGGACGAGAAATTAGTTGAAATAGCACGGGGTATGTCGGAAAGCCAGAAGATGACGTTTGTCGACTGTCGGCCGAAGTTGAGTGCGTCGGCGAATATGATTAAAGGGATGGGGTATGAAGACTCACGGTATTATGAGGGAAGCGACGTCGTCTTTTTGGACATTGATAACATCCACAAGATGCGAGAGAGCTATAACCAACTGTTCTCTGCGATGCGGAGAATCTCTTATGCACATGTGAGTATGACGGAAGGGATGAAGATCGTCGCGAATAGCAAGTGGTTGTATCACATCAGTAAAATACTGAAAGGAACCGTCATAGCTATCAATCGAATGATTCAAGGAAGTACTTTACTTGTCCACTGTAGTGATGGATGGGACAGAACAAGTCAAATAGCGTCGTTAATTGAAATTGTAGTCGACCCCTTCTATAGAACAATTGAAGGGTTTCAGGTTTTGATTGATAAGGAGTGGATCGCATTCGGACATAAATTTAAAGACCGGTGCAGACATCTGGTGTCTACGCAAAGCATGAACGAGTACTCACCAGTCTTCTTACAATTCATCGACTGCGTGTTCCAAATCATGAGAGTCGCTCCAAAGGAGTTCGAATATAACGAAAACTTCTTGATGGAAATAGCTCAACAAAGCTTCTCGTGTTATTTCGCGAATTTCTTGTGTAATTCACAGGAAGAAATGAACTGTAAAGCAGAAAGCTTGTGGAACGTCATCAATAAGGAAAATATCCGATTCAGGTTTGTTAACCCAACGTATAAGAAATCGGAGAAAATGCTCAACGTGAATGATATCGAAAAAAGTGCTCCAGTGTTATGGAGGAAATTTTATCAGTCATATTTTCGATTCCATTCAATGTAATCTATTTTTTATATTAATGTTGTTCATTTTTATAATTAATAATCATGTTATGTTGTTGTTAAAATACTCTAAAATAAACGTGTGTTCATTATTACATTATTTCGTTGTAAATTTTAAATTATACTGTTTTTCAAAAGTTTGTACTGAAATGTCCCAAATTTTTGCATTTATTTTGTTTATTATTTTTGGGAATCAGTTTTTGATTATAAATTTCAATAATTTTTTCCAAGTAAAAAAAAGAAAAACAATTTTCAAAAAATATTTTTTTACTTAAAGAATTTTTAAGCATTAAAAAATATCCTGTAAAAATTGAAATAACGGGATTTATGTTTCTGAAAAACACATGAATGTTCCCAAAAGTGCATTTTATTATTAAAAGCTGATAAAATAAATGCCAAAAAAAATTTTGAAGTCGAGTCTTCATTTAAAAAAAATAAATAACAGAGCGATAGTATTGCGTAATATTGACACATTGATGGTGTTGTCACAACAATAACTAGGATATCAAAACCCAAAATTATTAAATGTTTGCTCATATTTATGAATTGTTTTAAACTCATTATTTCATTTTCTCTTATATGAAAAAAGAATACAGGGGGGCTAAAAAACCGCTTCCGTCTTTTTAACCGCTTCCTATCGATTTAATAGTTATAAATAATAATAATATAATAAAATGTATAGTACTGTTTACCATGAATACTGAATATGCCTCGTGGAGACTTTTTTCTGTCCAAGGTGGTAATTTGTATCATAGTTTTTATTATAATGTTATTATTTATAACTATTAAATCGATAGGAAGCGGTTTTTTATCCTCCCTGTATGTTTGATTTAAATTTAATATAAAAAATAATGAAATTGATATTTAGTTACTAATTAACATAAACAACAACATTTCAATTTACAAATGTGTATATACAGTTGACCAAATAATTATCAGAGACCAAATACAGTCAATATTCGATATAAGGGAGAAAAATAAGAGGAAGCCCTTATATCAAATAATAGAAAAAAAAATAAAAAAAAAGAAATTTATGTGTTTGCTTTTTGTTGGTTATTTCAATTTAAAAACCCAAAAATGGTAATAATTGGATTAATTTGTCACAAAGTTAAAAAGTCAATTAAAATAATATAAAAACTATGTTTTATTATATTTTAATTAAACATTTTTAATTAAAATAAACATAATATTATAATTATAATAAAAATAAATAAACAAGTAATTTTTTTATTGAAATAATACAATGAATGTATTTGCATTCTTTCAAAAAGTATACTTACCTTGACAACATATAATAATCAATTGGTATTCCCGCTTTACGAACTTCATGAAACCAATTGATCATTGCTTCCTCAAGTTCCAGCTTCTGTGGTTTTCTTATTCGTTAATACGAGGATAAAAAATTATCAATGTTTCTTTAGAAATTGAAGGCAAATGATAAACTTGCTTTGGAGAAATTACTATTTTCAGTTGTTGTCCGACAACTTTGATTACTTTTTGTGAATTTTGATAAGGATCAATTAATTCAATAATTTTTATTTTGTCTCGTAACATCAATGATGTTCTTGTTTTAACACATTTGGATTGCATTAAAACTTAATGATTTAACAGATTTATTTGAAGTTTTTAAGTCGAAACAAAGTTAGATACAAAAGTTTTATTTATTATGTTAATATACTTGTCTTTGTTTTTTGATTTATTATGAAATTTATTATTTCTTTAAGATAAAAATAATTGCCAATTGTTTTCAAGATATAGGCAAAGTGTTTATTTTGGTTAGAAAAAAAATTAATAATCAAAAAAATATTTTTGTGACAAAAAACAAACCAAGGTATTATTATAATTCCTCATTTTTTCCCTTATATCGAATAACATTGGTACCCTATATTCCCTTATATCGAATAATGACTGTAATTGTAAGAAAGATGTATTTCCCGTTAATTAGCTTGGAGATGACTATTGAAAAAAAGTGAAAAAAATACACCAAATAATGCTAAGAAACCCATTTCTTTTTTTAAAAATAGTTCTTGATTAAGGTTTTAAAACTATTTATTTTTCTTCTTACAGGTATGTAACTGAACATATAAAAACACAACTGAATCCTAAACACAGTGTTTTTAAAAATGCCAATTGATTGGTTAAATTTTTTTATTGTTCCATGAACAAAAGGAATAATTAAAAATAAAAATTCAATAAAAATAACAAATGAAATAAAATTAAATTTAACATTAAAAATGTTCATTGAATTAATATTGAGTGTCTCATTTCAAGACGATTACAACTTTTTGATGATTAAATTTAATACATATAAGTCTTTACATATTTCGTTTTTCTTTTCGATTTTTTTGTGTTAACAATATTATATTTACATCATTTGTATCATCAATAATTTTTAAGTCTTCTTGACAAAAAGTTGTACCAAAATCAAGACAGAGTTCTTCTTTACCAGTATTTTCTTCAAAAACATTGAAGTTGCCAGTCAAGTATTCATTAACATCAACTTCACGAATTTCACATATTTGAGATGTGAAGTCGGCATTATAAAAAAGATGCAGCGAATTGTCGCAATCAATTACGTGAATGTTTTTCTTCGTGTGAATATACAGTTTTAAAGATCGATTTTTGTTTGTTTTACTTTTATTATTTTATTTCAGGATGCCGATTCAGAATAGATCCAACAATTTATAATATTTTTGGGGGTAAAATTGTTGATCATCCATATTTAGATTATTAAAAGCTATTTTTAGTAATCTAAGAGTAAGTATAGGATTCAGTTGTAAATTTATATGTTCAGTTGCCCTCCTGAACAATTATTTGGTCTCTGACTGATATTTGGTCAAATGTAGTTGTGCGATTTGACCAACAACTTTAAATTTGTTTTGCAAAATGTTGAGTTGTGGTCAAACAAAATAAAAATAATCTGTGAAATTGGAAAAAAGGCGAAAATTCAAAAAATTGCATATGTTGTCCAAAAATAATTAAAATCAATTGTTATTGTTTAAAATATTTAATATTAACAAACAAATGATTTGAATAAATGTATTTGAAAAATGTAAAAAAACCTGATATTCAAATATGGTTAGAAAAACAATTTAATAAAATTTTTTACAATAATCATTTTATAACAACACGTAAATAATAATATTATGTGAGAAATAAAACAATAATCATTTATATATGATATAATTGTCAAAAAATGTTAAGTAATAGATTGTATAAAAAATATATATTCGATTTTTTATGCTTTTCTTTTCAGATAGTCTATCTTCTCATGTTTCTACTTTCGGTAGGTTCATATCAAGTAGGATACACCCGTTCCCATCTGAACACGGAAGTAAAGATGCTTAGAGCCTGTTTAGTACCATTATGTTCACACAGATGGGAACGTCAGGTAATCTACCTTTTTAAGTTTTAGTTGTTCTATTTTTAGAACATGTATATATTACAATATGTTATATAACACACGCAAAAGACGCGCTTTTTGAGCTTTTTATTATTTTATTAAAATGATATGAACATGAGTTGTTATGTATTGAGATTATTATACGATGTTCATATCATGCCAACATATTTGTAAAACACAATTCAGAATGAACATTAATATATAATATTATGATAGTCATAACTGTTTTATTATCACTCGTTATTCATTTCATTCATATATTCGATTTTTATGCTTTTCTTTTCAGATAGTCTATCTTCTCATGTTTCTACTTTCGGTAGGTTCATATCAAGTAGGATACACCCGTTCCCATCTGAACACGGAAGTAAAGATGCTTAGAGCCTGTTTAGTACCATTATGTTCACACAGATGGGAACGTCAGGTAATCTACCTTTTTAAGTTTTAGTTGTTCTATTTTTAGAACATGTATATATTACAATATGTTATATAACACACGCAAAAGACGCGCTTTTTGAGCTTTTTATTATTTTATTAAAATGATATGAACATGAGTTGTTATGTATTGAGATTATTATACGATGTTCATATCATGCCAACATATTTGTAAAACACAATTCAGAATGAACATTAATATATAATATTATGATAGTCATAACTGTTTTATTATCACTCGTTATTCATTTCATTCATATATTCGATTTTTTATGCTTTTCTTTTCAGATAGTCTATCTTCTCATGTTTCTACTTTCGGTAGGTTCATATCAAGTAGGATACACCCGTTCCCATCTGAACACGGAAGTAAAGATGCTTAGAGCCTGTTTAGTACCATTATGTTCACACAGATGGGAACGTCAGGTAATCTACCTTTTTAAGTTTTAGTTGTTCTATTTTTAGAACATGTATATATTACAATATGTTATATAACACACGCAAAAGACGCGCTTTTTGAGCTTTTTATTATTTTATTAAAATGATATGAACATGAGTTGTTATGTATTGAGATTATTATACGATGTTCATATCATGCCAACATATTTGTAAAACACAATTCAGAATGAACATTAATATATAATATTATGATAGTCATAACTGTTTTATTATCACTCGTTATTCATTTCATTCATATATTCGATTTTTTATGCTTTTCTTTTCAGATAGTCTATCTTCTCATGTTTCTACTTTCGGTAGGTTCATATCAAGTAGGATACACCCGTTCCCATCTGAACACGGAAGTAAAGATGCTTAGAGCCTGTTTAGTACCATTATGTTCACACAGATGGGAACGTCAGGTAATCTACCTTTTTAAGTTTTAGTTGTTCTATTTTTAGAACATGTATATATTACAATATGTTATATAACACACGCAAAAGACGCGCTTTTTGAGCTTTTTATTATTTTATTAAAATGATATGAACATGAGTTGTTATGTATTGAGATTATTATACGATGTTCATATCATGCCAACATATTTGTAAAACACAATTCAGAATGAACATTAATATATAATATTATGATAGTCATAACTGTTTTATTATCACTCGTTATTCATTTCATTCATATATTCGATTTTTTATGCTTTTCTTTTCAGATAGTCTATC